GGATGGACCTTGAGAGAATTATATTAAGCGAAACAAGTCAGGCACAGAAAGAGAAATACCATATGTTCTCACTTATTGGTCGAAGCTAAAAATAAATAAATAAATTCACACGCACACACAAAAAAACCAGGGGGGGGGGACTTAACAACTACAACTCCTTGAAGTTGATACGACAAGCAAAAAGAAAGGACACTGTTGGGTGGGAGCGGGGAGAGGGAGGAGGGAGGGGGGTTTCGGTAATGGGCCACAATAATCAATCTCATTGTATATCAACAAAATAAAATTAGGAAAATAAATAAATAAATAAAATAAAATAAAATAAATGGGCAAAAGACTTGAAAAGACACTTCACTAAAGAGGATATACAGAAAGCAAGTATGTGAAAAGATGTTCCACGTCCTATGTCATCAGAGAAACATAAATAAAAATAACAAGGAGGTACCACTACAGACCTATTCAAATGGCCAAAATATATAACACTGACAACACCAAATGCTCATGAGGAAGTGGAGCAAGAGGAACTCTCACTTACTGTTGGTGATACTGCAAAATGGTACAGCCAGTTTTAGAAGACAGTTTGGCAATTTCTCCCAGAACATTCTCTGACCCTATAATCCAGCAATTACAAGCCTTGGTATTTAATAAATTAAAAACTTATGGCCACACAAAAACCTGCAACTTTATTCATAATTCATAACTGCCAAAATTTGGAAGCAATCAAGATGTCCTTCAGCAGATGAATGAAGAAATAAACTGTGGTAGATCCAGACAATAGAACATTTTTAGTGCTAAAAAGTAATGCGCTATCATACCATGAAAAGACATGGAGAAACCTTAAATGCATATTACTAAGTGAAAGCCAATCTGAAGCTTTTCACTTATTAATATGCATTCAGAAAAGGCAAAACTATGAAGACAGTGAAAGATCAGCGACTGCCTGGGGCTGGAGGGAGAGGGATGAATAGGAAGAACGTAAGAGGATGTTTAGAGCAATGAAAATATTACATAGTACAATGATGACTAAATATCATTATACATTGTCTAAACCTATAGAATGTACAACACCAAGAGCAAATCCTAATGTAGGTTCATCAATTTTAACAAATGTACCACTCCAATGGAGGGATGTTGATAATGAAATTATCTATGCATGTCGGGGGACAAAGACTATATGGGACATCTCTGTACCTTCCTCTCAATTTTGCTGTGAACCTGAAACTGCTCTGAAAAATAGTCTTTAACAAAAAACAAAAAGAACAAAAACCAGGGCAAAAGGTTATCTAGAATAAATAAAATATTCCAGGCATAACTCAATCATGTCAAAATAGAGCAAATTTATCTCTTACATTACAAATTATATTAAAGCAGCCCCAAATTTCTTTATGGTTTTGGGCAGCCTAATCACTAATGACTGGTTTACATTCAAGAAAAATTGTTCTTTATTTCATACATCACTGTTAAACAATCTACTGTTCCTTGTATTCTTCACACCCAAGTTGTAGAGGATTCATAAAGCAAACGTACTTCACAGGGCCTGGTTTTCCAAAGCCTTGCAGTTTCAAATATTGACCTTGCAAAGGACAGGAATTTTTCCCCAGGCTAATGAGTCTCTGTTGCAAGATAAGAATTGTAACACAGCAAGGTTGCTGGCTCAAAGACAGACAAGTTATTAACTGATATGTAAAGTTACTACAAAGCTGCTAGAGGGAAAAGGAATGTTTGCTAAATCAAGCCTTTGTTAGTGCATCACTTAATTGCCTAACAGAATGTCATCTGACTTGTTTTTACTGAATGTTACCATCTATTGTAAAACTTGTTAAACTGTACTTAGCAAAACCCCACCTATGTCTCTTCCTGTAACTTGCTGGTCTGGAGAATAAATGCAGGAAGAGAACCCCAATTTGTGGTTAATTTCTCAAATGGAAGGATGCCTCACGCTTGAGGGTCCTGCAATATTAACCCCTCTCTGGAGCTTCTCACTGCTCAAAAGAGATGGGCTTTGAGTAATCTTTGGCGGCTCCGTCACCCAGGGGAAAAGGCGTGACAAATCCGTGGGAGGCAAAGCAACACTAGGTACATTTATTCTGGTTAAATTTCACTATTTCTAGGGCTGGTTGGTTAGCTCAGTTTTTAAAGCACAGCCTTATAACACCAAGGACATGCATTTGGGTCCCCATACCAGCCAGCTGCAAAAAAAAAAAAAAAAAAAATTTCACTGCTTCTGTTTCGTCAATGATCTTCTCCAGTGATGATTTCTGGATTTTGGCTCATCATATAAAATCATCTCCATTATAAACTTCAGGTTAACTCATTTGCAAAGTTATTCAACACACTACCATTGCCCACATACATGTAAGTCATTAATAAAATGTTTAACAGGAGAGGAGGGACTCTGAAACCATTCCTTGAAAATCTATGTCCAATGCACCATCTATGTTTTCACCAGTCTCCTTAGAATACAGCTTTTAAATTAGTTATAAAGCTTCCTACTCACACAGTTGTTCCGTTGACATTTCTCTTTGTCATCCTCAAGAATGTCAACCTTTTTCAAATATCTTACAGATATATATTACACCTACTGCACTACCCTAATCTACAAGTCTAATAAATCTACCAAAGAAAAAAGCAATGAAAAAGAAAAAGAAAAAAATTAGTCTTCCATGATGTCTTGGAGAAACCCATGCTGGCTTACAGTGATCACAGCTTTTTTCAACATTCCATTAAAAGGAGTAAAACACTGTGGCATTAAAAACAGAATTTGACTCTAATTTAACTGTAAGGACAAAAATAGAGGAGTCTCATATACTCAGGTGATGAAAACAGATTATTATAGCTCTTCATTTAATAATATAAAACTAATATTTATTGTCAACATTTGTAATATTTCAAGTTGGTACCACTTTATTTTGGCCTGAAAAGATAAATTTCAGGTTTACTTTCAGTTATTAAAATTTATTCATTGGCTTTCTTATATATCTAAGTAAATCTCAGTTCACTGAGCAAATATGTTATTAATCTGAACATTCCAAATAAAAACATAATAGTTCTGGTGGAATATTAACTGCTAGGCAGATCACATGTGAAGCTGAGTGGCCTTATTGTAAACCACTGTGATTCAGACATGGATGAGACCTGGCATCTACAGCCCAGTTGCCTCCTTTTATAGATGAAGACACTGAGGCTCTTAGAGAGGGAGTGGCTTGACCAAGGTCATAGAGCTAACACTTGGCATGGCTGGACACAGAAATTATACCTTCTCAACTGCTATTTATAATGTTTCACAAAACGAAGTCAAAAAAAGTAGTAAGAACAAAACAAATACATTCTTACCAACTGGACTTCACCAAAAGCACCTCTTCCAATAACTTTTACAACATCATAGTCTTCTGCCTTCATCTGTAGACCTCTGATTTTTTTCACAATTTTCTCATCTACAATAAAAAGATCACCATATTTGTAAAATCTATCATCATATTTATAAGAAATATTTTTAAATAATCACTATATATGTAAATAAATTTTTATTTCAAGAAAGTGGACTTAGTTTTTAGCTAAATCAGTTTTTTAAAACTGCTATTTAAAAATCTAAGATACACATTAATGTTACATCAAAGAAACAAAACTCTCATACTTTATTAACACATAAACAAACACTACTGACTGCCAAAAAGTAGCCGTTAAACACTATTTTATTTCTGACTCTGTTGTTTGGCAAGTTAGATGACAGCTGACAAACTGATGACCCACGCACTCCTGGTGTGCATTCTGAACCATGGCAGAAAGTTGCCATGAAATCACTTGTAAGGCTAATCTTAGTAATGGTTTTGATAGCCTACATCTTTGAAAAGTGGTAATCATACATTATATATACAGTAATTACAGACAAAAGTGTTTAAATGGGAAAATACCTCAGTCTCTGGCAATTCTAAATAAAAGAGTTTACTGTGGTGATATAAAGTATATATTAATCATTTTGAGGATTTCTTATTCTTAGAATTTGACTTCATTTACTTCTTCGGCAACATCAATATTGGCAAATATTAAGGGTTACCACATACATGGTAATATTACATTACTTTTCATTAACCTGGTTGAAGTCTCTACATTTACAGAAACATAAACCTTAAGTCTTCTGGTAATATTAAGATGTTGTCAATATTAATTTAAATCTTCTCTTGGAACTACTAAAAATAACCTGTCCTGAAATAGCTAAATAGTCTTAATCATACAAAATTTTGAACTTCACCTAGTTTACATATAGCAATTTGGTTTCTAAAGTTTTGCTCTGAAAATAAAGAATACTAGTTTTTAAATAAATCAAATGGTAAACTTAAAAAAAGAGCTTAATAGGTTAAGTTTACGTACTGTAATAATATTAATCAAACATAAATATCTTGTCAAAAGTACACTTATATGATCAAATATAAACTTTAAACATACTTACATCTATTTAAGAAATTATCTATATTCTTGTTTTTCCTCAAAGCAGGAAAATCCAAATCAAGGACCAAGGAATTTAAGCCATCCTATTAAAAAAAATAAAAAGACAGTATTTACAATTTCCAAGAATTCAAAAACAAGTCTTTAAATTTTATCATATGTTGTTCTCGCTGAAAAAATGCCAATCCACTTTAATATGATATTGGCCAGAAGCTCCAGATCTAACAATTGTAACTGGTTTCCTAACCTCTGCCAGAAAACATTAGGATTGACCCTATCCATGTTTTCCTTTGTTCTTTTAGCCAATAGAAAAACGTCATTTTATCAACTATTAGACAAAGAATAAGAAATCCAAAAATAAATAAGACACTATCCTTACCTCCCTCAGGGAACTCAGCCTCAAACCTAAATTTCCCCTAAAAACAGGAAAAAAGGATGATGCATTATCTGGATTTCTATTTCCTTCTTTAAGTTTTCTGTATTTTCCAGACATTCTACAATGAACATACATTAAATTTATAATCAAAGTAGGGAAAAGTATATACACATAACTTGGTGGGGATGAAAAAACTAATCAGAAAGTAACTCTCAAACTACTCAACGGATATACTTGTGAAGGTAACAGTCTTTTTTAAACACTATTGCATACATTTTCTCAACCCCAAGTAACTATGGGGAAGGCAGGAGAAAACACCCTTATTTTAAAGAGGAAAAAACAAACTTAGGCTCAGAGAAATTAAGTATCTTTGATTTGCCCAAGGTCAAACTACTAGGAAATGACACTGGAAGAATATTACCTAAGTCACAGATGTCCAATATACTTAACTCAGCCCCCTAGTCTCAATGACCAAAGTGACACCACACTGAAAAAAATAATGGGAGCCAGGAAAGTGATGGAAGCTGGAGGATTATGGAAAACAAAACAGCAGGATAGGGGGGAAATGTAGGGAAAATTACACGCAAAATTTAGAAAGGTAATGAATTTTTAACTTACTAACTCTATAAGAATAGGGGCTGGCTGGTGAGCCCGGCTGGTTAGAGCACGGTGTTGCAAGGGTTCAGATTCCTGTACTGGCCAACCACAAAAAAAAATCTGCAAAAATTGCACATACTATGTTTACCACTAAGATAGATTTCATATTTTTAATTTTCATTCTCTTCAACTGAAAGAAAAAAAACCACATTAAAAATAAATAACCAACTTCCAGTTAAATTGGGACTGTTAAATTCACATTTTGAGACACCCCCCCACACACACACATTCCCCTCTCCAGAAGGACTGGACTACTTTTCAAGGATTCAGCATCTGAGCATATTTTTAAGTGCAAAAATTATCAACATACCTTTATTGGTACAATTTTGATATTTCAGTAAGTTTAAAAGGTAATGGGCTGGCCACTTAGTTTACTTGGTTAGAGTGTGGTACTGGTAACACAAAGGTCAGGGGATTCAGATCCCTTTACTAGCCAGCCACGCCCCCCGCAAATTTAAAAGTTTACAATGTAAAATCTCAGTCATTTATATTTTTAGATGTATCCATATTTATACTCTGTATTACAATTTCAAATCAAAGAATGGTGCATTCATTTAGAAAGAATTTTTCCATAACACCATTAACCACTATAAGAAAAAAAACTACAAATTGACAAGGCAAAAGCTTCTATTGGGAGAACAAATCTTTCTCAGAGATTTTCCAAACAGAATATTAACGCTTCATACTGACATGATAAAAGTAATTCTGCATTACACTCTCCATTTACACATAATAGACAAAAGAAACCTTTCTTTGAACACTATACTCTGACATCAATTAAAGAACTGAATCCTTGCTTTCCCCACATTCTCCCCAAAACTTCTCTCAAAGAGAGATAATTATGTGAAGATTAAATAACCAGGAAAAAATAGTCTAGAAAGAGCTTATAAATATTTTCCCATAATATTCCCCACTACTGTAGAGCCAGAGAACTTTTTCAGCAATTGGGACATGTGAGCAGTTGCTTAACTCAACAATATCATTTTGTTTTTAAAACCATTTTAAAGATCAAACGCTATTTCAATTGTGTGTTATTAATCTATTTCTACATAATATTTATTTTAAATGATACTATGATACTTTAATCTGCTAATAATTTATATTAGAATGATAACGTAGGTTGGTTATACATACATTTTTACTTGGAACTTTATAAATTTTCACAATGAAAATTTATTCTGTTTAGTATTACTTTTTAAAAAGTAAATTTTGAATTGTTTTCAGACACCACTGTTGTCAATATATAAAATTAATACAAAGGTACAGTCACTAGGCAAGCCGAATTAGCTTAGGACTTCTTTGAAGCCTATGTCTGTGACCTTTCCTTGTCAAGACTTGGACAGTAAGTTTTTGGGTTTTTTTTTAGTGTCTGCGATTATTTTCTTTAAAAGTGATACTAAAGCAGAGTAATAAGGAAGGAAATTTTAAAAAGAAAAATACATTCAAGAAAAACCTACAACCAAAACTTCAAAGCAATGAAGAAAATTAACACTATTTGCTCCTTTCTCCACTTCCAATTGTATAGAAATGACTGGAGAATAGTTAAAAGTCATAGCCCCACTGAGACAAAACAAAACATCACCACCACCACCAATTATTCAAGGACCAGAAAGAAAAATGCCAAGCAATGAGTAGGAGCTAAAAGTCTCACAGATCAACAGGATTTCAGGTCAGAAAGCAGCAATACCAACGACTGAGAATTAAAAGGGCCTAAACTAGGTGAAGGACCAAAACCAGACTGATGGCTGGAAAACCAGTACCTGGTGTGAAAATCCCACCTCCTAAATTAAGACACTTAAAAAACAAAAACAAAAAAAACCTCACTACCCAAGTCTTATATGAAACTGCATAACTAGGTAGGTCAGAGACAACTTGAATCAAACCCTGGGCTAATCTCCCTGCTTGCCCAGTTACTAGATCTTCCATATCTCTAATATTAATGTCTGACAAATATAGATTAGCTCCAATGTAGGAACTAACTCAGGAGATAAAAGTATATTATCCTACTGTGCTTTTGAAAAAACATGTACACCTCCTCCCAGAAGCAGGCAAGAGAGCAGTGCCTGAGGTCCTAGGCAGGAGCCGAGGGTCCCACCACCCAGAAGCAGGCAAGAGAGGAATGCCCAGGGTCCTAGGAAGGAGTCATAAGCAGCCAGCCCTTTCCACCTGGAAGCACACAAGCAATGCCTGGGATCCTAGGCAGGAACCAAGGGCAGCCCACTCGGCCCTGAAGCAGGCAAGAAAGCAATGCCCAGAGGTCCTAGGCACGACCCTAGGGCAGCATCCACCACCCAGAAGCAGGCAAGTTAGCACCCCGAAAATACCAATTCCATGTGGGTGGCCCACCACAGCCACCACCATAGTCAGATGTCATCTGCCTCAAAAGTGGCTCAACACCACAGCAGTAGCCACAACCACCATACAGGTGGCCCACAAACACTCCACTGCATGGACAGAAGGAGAGTCACCAGCAGAGACCAGAAAAAGAAGAGGATGCCTCTCTCCTCAAAGCCCATTCCAGAGTAAGAGAAGAAGCAACTACACTACCAGATGACCAGACATCAATGAAGAGATACTAGAAACAGGAAAACCCCAGAAAATATGACACTACCAAAAGAATACAGTAATTCTCAAACACCAGACCCTACAGAGAAGGAAAACCTTGAAATGACTGAAAAGGAATTCCAAGCAACTCTCTAAAGGAAACTCACTGATATTCGAGAAGATTCAGATAGACAACACAACAAAATGAAAAAACAAAAACAAAAATAAAAATATCCAGGATATGAAGGAGGAAATTTACAAAGAGATTATACCTTAAAAAGGAATGTAGCAGAACTCATGGAACTGAGTCACTCAAAATAAAAACCACAACCGAGAACTTAAACAGTAGGCTAGAACAAGCACAAGAGAGAATTTGTGATCAAGAAGACAGTCTTTTTGAAATAACCCAGGTGGCCAAAAAAAAAAGGAAAAAAGAATTTTTAAAAATGAAGAAAATCTAAGAGAGCTAGCAGACAACCTTAAGCACACAAACATTCAAATCATGGGTGTTCCAGTAGGGGAGAAGAAAGGAAAAGGCATGGAAAACCTATTCAATGAATAACAGAAAATTTCCCAGGTATAGGGAGAGACATGGACTTTCAGATCCAGGAGGCTCAAAGATCCCCAAACACTTTGACCCAAAAAGATTCTCTCCAAGACACATTACAGCCAAACTGGCAAAGCTCAAAGACAAAGAGCAAATCTTAAAAGAGGCAAGAGAAAAGCATCAAGTCACCTGTAAGGGGCGTCTATCAGACTAAGAGCAGACTTCTCAACCAAGACTCTACAGGCCAGAAGAAAATGGGATGATATATTTAAAATAATAAAGAAAAAAAACTGCCAGCTAAGAATACTATATCCAGCAAGGCTATCGTTCAGAAACAAGGGAGAAATAATTATTTTACAGAAAAACAAAAGCTGTGGGAGTTTACCACCACAGGATCAGCCCTACAAGAAATTCTCAATGGAATCCTGCATCTGAAATCCAAAAAATGATAATCACTAGCATGAATACACAAGAAAAAACAAAATCCACTGGCAGAACAAAAATGCAAATGAGAAAAAGAAACCCAATCTTACCACCACAAAAAACCATAATGACAATGTAATAATACCCCTGCCTTATTTCTGATTTTAGTAATTTCATTCTTCTCTCTCTCTTTCTTGGTCAGTCTAGATAAAAGTTTGCAAATTTTGTTGATCCTTTTAAAGAAACAACTTTTGGTTTTGTTGATTTTCTTTATTTATTTTTTTTTTCCTTTTTGTCTTTTTCCGTGTCCGGCAACGGATCGCAACACTCAGTGTCGCCCCCGTACCGGACCGGGACCAGCAACGGAATCGCAACCCTCGGTGCTGCTCCCACGCCTCGCTCAGCCAGTGAGCGGGAACCAGTCTGTATGTGGGATCCGAACCCTCGGCGGGAGCGCCGCCACACTTCCCAAGCGGTGCACTGTAGCAGTGCGCCACTGGGCCGACCCATTCTTTGTTTTTTAACTCCCTATTTCATAT